CAGTGGGCAATCAAGCGGACATTAGGCGAAATAACGAAAGTGAGATTTTTCGGGATTCAAATAGTGTCATGTATACACTATTCAATGACAGATTTTATGATAAAAAAAAATTTTGATCCAAGATGATTTTTCGGGATTTTTGGAAGAAACGGGGAAAGGAACAACATTTGCGTACATGTATTCTATGAAGAAGGACGAATAGGACTCCTCATTTGGTCCCATCACTTATTTGATCTTATAATAATTCCTTGTAATACGGATAAACATTTAATTGATTAAGTAAGGTACTCGTTCTATGACAAATTCTAACCTACCCTCTATTTTCGTGCCTCTAGTCGGCTTATTACTTCCGGCAATTACAATGGTTCTTTCCTATCTGTATATTCAGAATGACGAGATTTTATGAATCTGATCAAACCCAGATTTAATAAATGGGTTCGGATCTTTCAATTGCAGTAGAACAGATAGGATATCTATATCTATTTCAGATGATATCAGATAGAACCCTTATAGACACAAAATAGGTATAAATATCCATTTGTATTTAGACTCATTCATATATGAATATAGATAGATCTTACCATTCTATTATATATATTATGATTTTGGATATCCATTAATATACATATACATATCAGATATACGCATGTGTCAATAGATAGGTACTGATCAATATGTTAATATTGTCGGTTTTCTTTTTTATGGTATACATATATATTCCTGGAGATATTTATACTCCACTGATCCAGTGTTTTTTCTAAAATTGAGAAATTAAGGAAGGGACCGATTTGAACTAAATCGTAAAAATAGACAAGAAGAGAAACTTTGCTGACTTGACTTCAATGTGATCTATGTATATAGATAGCTAGTTCATAAGAGTTTGGGAACTAAAGGATGAAAAACTTGGCCATTCCCTCAACTTCAATAGGATGGAATTGAATACAATTTTTTATGAATCGTCAATCCAAATGGCTCTGGATAGAACCTATAACAGGGTCTCGAAAAAGAAGTAATTTCTTTTGGGCTTGTATCCTCTTTCTGGGTTCACTAGGATTTTTCCTAGTCGGTATTTCAAGTTATTTTGGTGAGGACCTGATACCCCTATTGTCATCTCAGCAAATACTCTTTATTCCACAAGGAATTGTAATGTGTTTTTATGGTATTGCAGGTCTGTTCATTAGCTCTTATCTGTGGTGCACAATTTTGTTCGATGTGGGTAGTGGCTATAATAAGTTTGATAAAAGAAAAGGAATTGTATGTCTTTTTCGTTGGGGATTTCCCGGAAGAAATCGTCGTATTTTCCTACGATTTCTTATGAAAGATATTCAGATGATAAAAACGGAAGTTCAAGAAGGTATTTCCCCTCGTCGTGTTCTTTATATGGAAATAAAGGGCCGACAAGACATTCCTTTAACCCGTACTGGTGATAATTTGAACCTAAGGGAGATCGAACAGAAAGCTGCCGAATCAGCCCGTTTCTTGCGTGTATCCATTGAAGGGTTTTGAAATGAATCGGGGAGTTCTTTATCCTCAATATAAATTCAAATGTTGAGAAATTTGAATATGGATCAGATCAAGGAACATGAATAAATATCCAATCAGGAAATTTCAATATTGTTTTTCATATAAATGAAAATAAAAATTGAAAGATAATTGTATGGAAATGGAACGATATAGGATCTTTATGAATAATAAAGATTTTATGAAATGGATATTATGTATCAGAAAGAACAATTACTAGATATAGTGGTCCGTCCGGTTTCCCTAAAACTAGAACGTTTTTCCTCCCATCCCGATTCTTCATCACGATCCAATTCATTCTTATATGATTTCGTCATTCTTTCATTTTTCAAGAGCATTTGGCATCTTTGGAGATAACTGGGGAAAGATTCGTAAAGGAGCGATCCAGTGATCAGGACTCAAATATGTTACTTCAAGTGATTCTTCTAAAAAAGAGTCAGACGGAATGGAAAAAAGAAATAGATAATTGGTCCAGATAGATACGATCTGGAATGATCGGATATCTGGGAACAATCTCCTCCTTATGCTCCGTCTCGCTCATTTGAAGCAAACCATTTCTTCTCCGAGGATATTTTTTCTCGGGGTAAAACAATTACGCAATAGATCAATCTATGGGTCCTATACCTCATTCTATCACTCGTACTTTGTCTAGATTTCGGAAAGAACTGACGAGTGAATCAGATTCGTTAGCGATTCACGAATTGGAAGTGTCCGAATATCAAGCATCAGCTTCCCTACGATATCTCGCATGTTTAGTAGTACTGCCCTGGGTAATTTCTATTTCATTACGGAAAGGGTTGGAGCCTTGGGTTACAAATTGGTGGAATACTGGTAAATCTCAGAAAATTTTTGATTATCTCCAGGAAGAACATACTCTGGGAAGATTTGAGAAAATAGAAGAACTCTTTCTATTAGAAAGAATGGTGGAAGATTCTTTGGAAACAAATTCAAAAGATCTTCGTATAGAGATTCACAAAGAAACGATAAAATTGGTCGAAATGTACAATGAAGATTGTATCCAGATAATCTCACATTTATTAACAAATCTAATAGGTTTTGCTTTTATAAGTGCTTATCTCATTCTGGGTAAGAATCAACTTGCCATTCTAAATTCTTGGATCCAAGAATTCTTCTATAGTCTGAGTGATACAATGAAAGCTTTTTCCATTCTTTTAGCAACCGATCTATGTATTGGGTTTCATTCGCCCCATGGTTGGGAACTGATGATCGATTCGATCTCCGAAAATTATGGATTTGCCCATAACGAACGAATAATATCTGGTGTTGTTTCAACTTTTCCAGTCATCTTAGATACGATTCTTAAATATTGGATCTTCCGTCGTTTCAATCGTATATCTCCTTCACTTGTAGTAATTTATCATTCGATGAATGAATAAAGAATAGGTTTTTTTCCGACCGAAACAATTGAAAAAGAAAAAGAAAGTGTTTTCCGTGTTCAGAAATGAGCTATTCCTCCCCCCTAATTCTTCTCCTGGTATGAGACTTCCGATTTATTACTTTTAGGTTTGGTTCAATCAATATAGTAGCAGAATTTTTGACAGGTAACTATGATAGCTACCTACTCTCACCCGAAAAATGATTTGGAACCAATAATTGAACCATGCAAAATAGAAATACTTATGACTGGACGAAAAAGATGACTAAGTTAATTTCCGTCCTGGTCATGATACATATCATCACTCGGACATCCATTTCGAATGCATATCCCATTTTTGCACAGCAGGGTTATGAAAATCCCCGAGAAGCAACTGGACGTATTGTATGTGCCAATTGTCACTTGGCCAAAAAATCTGTGGATATTGAGGTTCCGCAGTCCGTGCTTCCCAATACCGTATTTGAAGCAGTTGTTAAGATCCCCTATGATACGCAAATAAAACAAGTTCTTGCTAATGGTAAGAAAGGGGCTTTAAATGTAGGAGCTGTTCTAATTTTACCCGAGGGCTTTGAATTAGCCCCTCCGGATCGTATTTCTCCTGAGATTCGAGAAAAAATGGGTAATCTTTATTTTCAGAACTACCGTCCCAATCGAAAAAACATTATTGTAATAGGTCCTGTTCCTGGTCAAAAATATAGTGAACTTGTATTTCCCATCCTTTCACCAGATCCTGCTACTGATAAAGAAGCTCACTTCCTGAAATATCCCATATATGTGGGTGGTAATAGAGGAAGAGGACAAATTTATCCCGACGGGAGTAAGAGCAACAATACGGTCTATAGCGCTTCAGCAACAGGAAGAGTGAGCAAAATTTTACGTAAAGAAAAGGGTGGATATGAGATAACTATCGATAATACATCAGACGGTGGGCAAGTGGTTGACATTGTCCCTCCGGGACCGGAACTTCTTGTTTCAGAAGGCGAATTGATCAAGGTCGATCAGCCATTAACGAATAACCCTAATGTGGGTGGATTTGGTCAAGGAGATGCAGAGATAGTACTTCAAGATCCATTACGTGTTAAAGGTCTTTTATTATTCTTTGCATCTGTCATCTTGGCACAGATATTTTTGGTCCTTAAGAAGAAACAATTTGAGAAAGTTCAATTGGCCGAGATGAATCTTTAGGTCTATATATTTTTGAACATGAAGTTGACTGATTGGATCAAAAAGAAATACCCCTTCGGAGATGGAGAGCCTTTTCTCCTCAAAATTCATAAAGAAAGAAGGAAGAGCAGGCAAGTAAGGGGCAATATCACTCATTGAGCAAAACAATCTTATAAAATTTTTGATAGGGTTCGTTTCTAATGAGAGAAAACGAATAAAAGGTGTTTTTCCTCCTCTTGGATTTTGTAAGCCAAAATCAGAAAAGATTCTATCCGCACATTCAGATTCTCATAGTTTGCGTTTTTACAGAAACTTCACAAAATCTCCCATCAGATAAATGAGCAAATTTTTAGTAATTAATAATTTTTAGTAATTAATATACTCCGTTTCCCTGTTGTTCCTTCGACAGAGATTGAAATTGGATTGATCCAAATTTTTTTCGATCATATAAGAGATTCCAATAAGACCTTACCCTTCTGTGAAGGGTAAGGTCTTATCGATTTTTCACTTTCGCATGTATACTATTCCCCATAGCCAGCACATTTCCCCTACTATAGGGATGACCCTAATCCAGAATAGGAACCGTAGAAAAAAATACCCAGTAGACCAATCACGATAATACCAGTTACAGTACCTATCAACCAAAGAGGGATCCTTCCAGTGGTATCGGCCATTTATCTTACTCCCTTTCACATTTTCTTAAGTGTTGATGCTCGAGACATAAACAGTCATAGCATAGATAATTATGAGTATTGGATCTTTCCGAATGGAAAGAGAAGATTCTCATTTGTCCTAATTGAAAAAATAATTAGAGAATGGAACAGCAAGTACAAAAATGAGTAGCAACCCCCAGTAGAGGCTGGTACGATTCAATTCAACATTTTGGTCGTTCGGGTTTGATTGTGTCATATCTACATACTTTCTTTAGATAGAGTTTATCGCTGGATGAACTGCATTGCCGATATTGATCCCAAGAAAAAAACTGTAGGGACAGCTAGCCCGTGAACGGCCAACCATCTAACCGTAAAAATAGGATAAGTTCTATCTGTAGTCATTAGTGCCTCCTAAAAAGATCTAGTAAATTCATCGAGTTGCTCTAACGAATCGAAACGGCCAGTTACTAATGGAACCTCTTGTCGGCTTTCTGTGAAATATTCATTTGGTCGGGGGCTCCCGAACACATCATAAGCCAAACCCGTGCTGACAAATAACCAACCTGCAATGAATAGAGAAGGTATAGTAATGCTATGGATAACCCAGTATCTAATACTAGTAATAATGTCAGCAAAGGAGCGTTCTCCCGTATTCCCAGACATGCTCAGCTCCATATATTATTGTAAAGTCAGTCAAGGGGGAATTGATCCCATGAAAGATAGAGATCAGGAAATGGAAAACTACTGATATCTTCTCCAATCCTTGTTCGATTGTCAATGTTATACCAAGGGTATCTTTGAAGTCTACTGGACCAGTATAGCTAGCCTTCTTCTGACACAGCAATACAATTTTGATGAGTATTGAGACGGAACGGGATAGAATGATTATGTTCCTGCCAGTTATTCCATCTCTGTTTGGTCGACTGAATCCCAACAGAAAAAGAGAATATTGCATGTTCCCAGGGAACCCCCTCAATCAACGTTGTAACAATCGCACAGACCATGGAAATTTTCGATCGGAATTAGCTTCTACAGGTGGCTGTAGAACCGAGAAAGAGGATGAGTGCCGCTTCAAGAGGAGGGTATCAATCACTATCAATACAACTCTATGATACTATTACTCCTTCCTTTTTCATTCCTACACGGACATTATGTCCGTGTAGATGATCCCAGTAATTCAGATTGCACGGGGATCATTGGTGCTACGCAGATGTATGTTGCTCTTCCAATAATATCTGGTGCAGGTGGAGTTATGCCACGGACTTATTATATAATACCTTGTATTAATGAGTAGGTTTTACTCATTAGAAAAAACCGAGTGGATAGTGTAATAGAACCTAGTCAATGTTAGGTATGTGAAATTACGAGTTACTTCTTGCAAGAGGTGTAATTCTTGTAATATCGGGCTCTACTAGCTTTAAGAATGAATATTGAAAAAACCTAATCCATCTAGAGGGTTGAATGATTGGATCAATAAGTTCTAGAAATTAGAGGACAAACATTCATATTCTTCCACCTAAACGTGAAATTAAAAAAAAAACTTTTGCTATGTCCTCTTCCGGTCCATTCTCTGGACCGATAGTTACTGGTAAAGAAGATAATGCCAGGTGATCCAATCGTACTGATTGAGAAATAATTAATCCTATTACGTTTTCTAATTTTTGAAGGGGTTCGCGGGTGCTGTTCATAAGTTGCTCGATGAATGTGGGGATTTCTAGGATAATGAAGAGAATTCCACCATAGATTGCCTCTCATCCATGTTCGTTCGTACATATCCTATAGTAGAGATAGGATCCTGAATTGGTACAAATTGGGACAATCGATCTTTTGTATTCTGATCTCAAGGTTATGAAACTAAAAATTTAGGTAATTGTCTCATGAAGATATGTATAAACCATATTTCATTCAGTCCTTCCACGCCTACTATAACTATACTTAGTTATTTCGGTTTCTTATTGGCTTCTATAATTTTCACCCTAGTCCTATTCATTAGCTCGAGCAAGATACAACTTATTTGAAATGAAGGAAGAGAAAACCCTCTCAGTTCACTATTTCCATTTCAATAATTTTGTTTATTCTTTCTATATCAATTTGTAATCATTGAGATTCATAGCAAATTCAGGGTACTATCAAAGATAGCTATTATCCCTACTTATTCCGTTGAATCGAAATGATTGAGGCTTTGCCATCCGGAATTGTGTTAGGTCTAATTCCTATCACTTTGGCCGGATTATTCGTAACTGCATATTCACAATACCGACGTGGTGATCAATTAGATATTTGATCCGGGAATTCCCATTTCATTTACTTGGCCTCCTACTTTTCCTGGGAGGTCAGATTCCATTGCTCGTTCCAGTTGGAACGAACCCTCGATAATCTAGAGGGTTGGATCCGATAGGAACAGAATCACGCTCTGTAGGATTTGAACCTACGGCATCAGGTTTTGGAGACCTACGTTCTACCGAACTGAACTAAGAGCGCTTTCTCGAACTTCTGGAGATAAAGGGAAGGAAAAATCCCTTTCGTGGATACTCTTAGAGTAAAACACTTTCGCATCTGATACGATTCAATTATTGGATGTTCCATTCGAATCGAAAAAAAAAAAAAAAATGATCTTTCGTTCCTCTCTCTTTCCATAGAAAAGAAGGGATAGGTAGGGATGACAGGATTTGAACCTGCGACATTTTGTACCCAAAACAAACACGCTACCAAGCTGCGCTACATCCCTTCTAATCATTAGACAATGTCATTTTATAGAATTCAAAAAATGTTTCCCACATTTTTCCACCTTCATTTCTCCTCGATCTCGTGAATGAAAAGACTTTATACATGCATGTAGGATCTATTATCTAGAAGATAACTATTCATTACCAAAATTGGGTTTGGTGATTAAACCTCTTTTTCCTGATCTATAAATAGGATCACAACCCGGATAACATTATACATATATTCATCAGTTCCGAGTTTCCTCTACAAGAAACTCATAACTATTGATACGATTGAATCACTTACGCATTATGATCGATAAGGAGAATTTACAATGCAAGATCTAAAGACCTATCTTTCCACAGCACCTGTGTTAGCTATTTTTTGGTTCAGTTCTTTAGCCGGTCTATTGATAGAAATAAATCGTTTTTTCCCAGATGCTCTGACTTTTCCTGCCTCTTCTTAATTTTTGAACTCTCTTAAAGCCAAGGGGAAAAAGATAGTGCTAAATCTACTTCTCCTCTCTCTTGGATAAATTAGTGGATTCATCCAAAAATAGATACAAGTTTGATAATTGAATGGGGGGGGGTAGAGTCAAAGTAGAAATATAGATCCAAAAGTTCTTTCCACATTCAATTTTGTAAGTAAAATTGAAAACTCCTGATCAAGGATTTTTCACTTAAAAATCTTTCATCGTGAGATCTCCGGCTATCCACTTCTATCCCTTTTTCCCTCTTTCTTTATCAGATCGAAAAGCAAAGTAGACCTAATATCCAGAGTAAGTTTATGGCTAAGAGCGGAGATGTAAGAGTAACAATTACCTTGGAATGCACTAGTTGTACCCAAGATAGTGTTTATAAAAAATTCCCGGGGATTTCTAGATATACGACTCGGAAAAATCGACGCAATACACCTATTCGGTTGGAATTAAATAAATTTTGTCCTTATTGTTACAAGCATACCATTCACGGAGAGATAAAAAAAAGAGATTAAACGTACTACTCCTACTCAGGAACAAGAATAGATCACAGATAAAAAAAGGTATTTCAACAAGATCTTTAATGGAACGATATTTTCGAAAGATTTAGAATAAATAGTATTCAAAAGGTTAATGAAACAAACTATGGATAAACCCAAGCGATCTTTTCGTAGACATTTGACACCAATTCGTAGACATTTGTCACCAATTGGATCGGGAGATCGGATCGATTATAAAAATATGAGCCTAATTAGTCGATTTATTAGCGAGCAAGGAAAAATATTATCCGGCCGAGTTAATAGATTGACCTCGAAACAACAACGTCTAATGACTAACGCTATTAAACGAGCTCGTATTCTATCTTTGTTGCCTTTTCTTTATAATGAAAACTAATTTGATCCATAGAAATGGGAAATAAACCTACCCCTTAATCAAATTAGAGCTGGGATATCTGTTGGATAAAGATGCAGATCTTGAGTCTGTCGACAGGATCGAATTCTTTTCGTTTCGTTCATTTCCAATCCAATATTTCAAATTTTTTTCATATTTCTACCTTCCCGGAGGGAATTCTCCGGGAGAAGCTGTTCTATCCATTCCATCTCTACCTATTTCTTTCATCTATATCTAACCTATTCCATCACACGATAAGTTCTTAAAGATGGTGGAAAAGCAATTACTATCTAATACAGCTATTTGCGCAAGTGTTTTACGATTTGGAAGCAACTGCCTCTTATACAAATGTTGGATGAATCTGTTATAAGAGATTCCATTGGCACGGGCTGCTGCATTGATCCGAGTAATCCACAAACGACGAAGATCTCTCTTGCGTTTACCTCTATCTCGGTGGGCGGAAACTAAGGCTCTAGCTTTCCGTTGATTAGCAGTTCGAAAAAGTTTCGAATGGGCCCCTCGAGAGCCTGATACAAATGCAAGAATCTTTTTCCGACGTTTTCGAGCTATATATCCACGTTTCACTCTGGTCATTGAAGTTTACTCTCATGAATCACTAATCTTTTTCTCGGTTAGTCATTTGTTTGGTCCATTGAGAATAACACTGATTTTTCTTATTTAGAAAATAGAAGTTCCAATGGCTTTTGCTACTGCAACCTTCCCAACCATAATTCCCTTTGGATAGGCATCTTCCGGGTAGACAAGGACTGGGACCTTGTACTGAGAATGAGAAAAAATCATGGGTTTCATCGTTTCTATGGTTCTTTCTCCAACGGTAAGGTCCTCTTCATACGCCGGAGCCTCTTATTCATTTCCGAAATATGAGATGAGTATGTTATCGGTTACTTGTACGGTTTACCATCTCCAGCTCTACTCTTGAATCATAAAGTAATAAATACTCTCATTACAAGATCTATTCATACAGTAACGACATGTAATTCTGGGATTCGCCAGGTAGCTGACCCTGTTGTTCCGTTTTCGCGGCAATATGAGCATATACTTTATGCTTCTTCAATTTGCATGATTTCCCCGCTCAATGGATTGATGACCATTCGCTACCAATGAGGAATTGCTTTTCATCCCACATAAAGGTGATTGGATTTGCACCAATGGAAACCATAAATTTCATCTCCGGTAAGGTTAGATGATGGATTTGTACTTGGTAACAGCGGGAAAATTCTTCTGTTATTCCGTTGTAAGAATTTCCCAGTCTGTTTCAGCTTTTGATCCAAACGAGTCGCACATACACCCTAGCACATACTCCTCTACGCTGAGGACATCCTCGAAGAGCAGGAGATTTTTTTCTATTCTCTATTGGCTGTCTCGCATTTCTAATAAGTTGTTGAACAGTGGGCATTCTGGCCGGATTGTATGCGGAATCGACTGGTTCGGATTGATCCTAACCATATCAGGTGATTAGGAAATGACTCACTTTCCCTCTCCTTTTTTTTTGAAAGGGAACAAAGAGATCAAATTACAGTTCAGTATAAAAATGAATTCGAAAGAGAATCTTCTGCTACAATATCAACCTTCCGCTACGGCATCAACAATGCCATAAGCTTGGGCTTCTGTTGCTGACATAAAAACATCTCTGTTCAGGTCCCGTTGAATAATCTCTCCGGGGTTGCCCGTTCTTTCTATATAACATTTTGTTATGTAATCACGAAGCATCGTTACGTGTTTCGATTCCTTATGAAAATCTGCTGCCGGTCCATCATAATAGGAACTAGCAGGTTGGTGGATCATAATCCTAGCGTGAGGTAATGCTATACGTTTAGTAATTTCGCCCCCGATTAGGATGAAAGATCCCATTGAAGCAGCTACCCCCATGCATATTGTATGCACATCTGGTACTATTATTTGCATTACATCGAAAAGACCTACTCCTGGTATTACTGATCCACCGGGACAGTTAAGAAATGAGAACATATCTTTATTTGCATCTTCTGCACTCAAATATACCATGAGACCCATGAGTTGATTTGCAATCTCGTGATTTATATCCTGAGCCAAAAAAAGTAATCTCTCTCGATAAAGTCGGTTGTATAAGTCGACCCAATTTGCATCTTCATCTCCGGGGGCTCGGAAAGGAACTTTTGGAACACCAACGGGCATTTGTTCTAATGGAAAGAAGTGAAGCACTATACTCTAATATGGGAACGTAAAGTATATGAAGTTGTGTCATACATAAACTAACTCTTCCATCTTGAATGGGTGGTATTCATAGGATAGGTTTTTAACCTATCTGGAAATAGAGCTTTAGATGGATCAGATATTCATGTAAAAGATCCTTCAACTATTAAGTTGATAATGTAACGAATCACACTTTTACCACTAAACTATACCCGCCACGATCCGATTGTAACATACGGATCGATCTTTTGTCCAACCAATAGGAAGATGAGGAGTTATCAACCTCTATTGAAAGTTTCTATCAATCATTACCTCATTTTCATCATTAAATGAGTCTCCATCCCCGGAGATTCAATACTTGGATAAATAGTATTTCATTCCCGGAGATGGCTCATTGTAATTATAAATTACCTTTGCGAACTGCTGATAAAACAATTACTAATGGGCCCGATACAACCATCAGAGTCAGAACAGTGAGCTGTGCAATAACCTCTAGATTCATTTTGTTTTCTTTCACCCCTATGATCCCATCGACTTGATGGATGTATTAATAAAATGTTGTCAGGATTAATCACTTTTCACACTTCTGTTTTCTCTTCTCCTTCCCCATCTGTGTAGTTTCGATCAGGAACCTATAGCCTTGAGCAACTGATATCTTTACAATAATACATAAAATAGGTAGATAGCCCATTCATGTATTTCAATATCTAGATTATGAAATTGGATACTGGAGAGAAATAAATGGACTAATCTGTTCCGTGTAACTAACTCATTTAATCAAAATGATTGGAGAGGGAAAGATGATAACAGAGGGTCAGTTTTTGATAGCCCTTTTTGTTGCTTTCGTACTAATATTTATTAGAGAAGAGATAGGAGCAATATCATACCACTTGTCTCTTAGTAGTTGGATCTCCCAGTTTTTGGAATGCTCCAAATTCTATTCGAGCATCCAAATCCGGGTCGATACCGGCAAAAACATCTCTGAATAGGGTTCTAGCACCATGCCAAATGTGTCCAAAAAAGAAAAGGAGAGCAAATGTAGCATGTCCGAAAGTGAACCAACCCCTTGGACTACTACGAAAAACACCATCGGATTTTAGAGTAGCACGATCTAATTCAAAAATTTCACCTAATTGAGCACGTCTAGCATATTTTTTAACTATAGCAGGATCACCAAAACTAACCCTGTCAAGCCCACCACCATAGAACTCAACAGTTACACCTACTTGTTCAACACTATACTTTGATTCTGCCCTCCTGAAAGGAACATCGGCTTTCACAATTCCTTCTTTGTCTACCAGAACTACTGGAAATGTTTCGAAAAAGGTAGGCATACGACGTACAAAAAGCTCATTTCCTTCCTTATCTTTGAAAATAGGGTGTCCTAACCAACCAACAGCTATTCCATCTCCATTGTCCATCGCACCTGCTCTGAATAACCCCCCCTTAGCTGGATTATTACCAATGTAATCATAAAAAGCGAGTTTCTCGGGAATTTTTGACCAAGCTTCCGATAGGCTCAAATTTTCGGCCAGACCGGCACGAACCCGTCGATCTATTTCTTGTTGGAAGTATCCCTGATCCCACTGGTAACGAGTGGGCCCAAATAATTCAACCGGAGTAGTTGCGGAGCCATACCACATAGTTCCGGCAACAACGAAAGCTGCAAAAAACACAGCAGCAATACTGCTGGATAGGACCGTTTCAATATTCCCCATGCGTAATCCTATGTATAAACGTTGGGGAGGACGAACACTGAGATGGAAAAGACCTGCTAATATACCCAATATACCTGCTGCAATATGATGAGAAGCTATTCCTCCCGGAACAAAAGGATCAAAACCTTCAGCTCCCCATGCTGGATCCACTGGTTGTATTTTTCCAGTTAGTCCATAAGGATCAGACACCCATATCCCAGGACCATACAAACCCGTTACATGAAATGCTCCAAATCCGAAACAAGCTACTCCTGAGAGGAATAAATGAATTCCAAATATTTTGGGCAAATCTAAACAAAGTTTTCCCGTACGTTCATCACAGAATATTTCCAGATCCCAATATACCCAATGCCAGATAGCTGCCAAAAAGCACAGGCCAGAAAACATGATATGTGCCCCAGCCACACCTTCATAACTCCAAATACCAGGATTAGTTACAGTTTCTCCGGTGATGCTCCATCCACTCCATGAATCCTTTATTCCCAAACGAGTCATAAAAGGTATAACAAACATACCTTGTCTCCACATTGGATCAAGAACAGGATCGGATGGATCAAAAACTGCTAATTCGTACAGAGCCATTGAACCGGCCCAACCAGCAACTAGAGCTGTATGCATTATATGTACAGAAATTAACCGGCCAGGATCATTCAATACGACGGTATGAACGCGATACCAAGGCAAACCCATGAAAACACCCCTTTATCGGAAAAAGTAGACACTCTGTAACTTTCTCACATTGGATCGGAAGAGATCATGCTATCGAGCTAGACCCGGATTATCTCGAAGGTGAACATCTATTCACTTGGACATTGCTAAGTGATGGAACAGGTTCTAAACAGTTCTGTTCATACATAATAGCAGGGAGAAGCAAAGATATTTTATCGTTTGTATGTACCAATACACAATGTGGGGATTGGTCCCATTTATACTGATCAAACACATAAATAAAATATTTGTCAAACTTTTAAAAATAAAAAAACGACCCCCCCCAGGTGATTCAACACGGTCCT